TTTAACCTTGCTCACACACTATGTAAAAAACAACACGTACCTATTGTTTATCTCCACAAACCATGTGATCCCGTAAACCAGACTAGTCACAATATGCAGGCTAAAGAAATGGAAGACGTTCTCCAATTCAAAAAAGGCCTCACAGAATTCGCTACAGATGTTTATGAAAAAATTATCAAATTGCAAGCCGGTAAGTCATTGGATTTCCCATGAACCAACTTATTCACACATGGTCCAGAAAGTTTAACGAACTCTGTATTTTCGCCCATGAGTATTTATTGTGCCTCGTTGTTGGTGATGGCCGGAGCCAACGGGGAAACACTGCAAGAGATGCAGCAGGTGCTTCACATTCCCCCGAAGCTCAGATCCGATGCTGTTCATCAGTCCTATGGACCAATAATTTCGAAGTATTTCGAGGCGTCCAGTGACGTGGACTTGAACCTTGCTAATCGGTTATTTCTTCTCAGTTCGATCGATATTCGACCGGAATACAGTGCTCTAGTTGCCAAGTGTTACAAGGCCTTAGTTGAGCTGGCAATCATTTTCCCTTAAGAAACTCTTTAAGTCTTGTGATATAAAGCTAAGGGAACTACAAATTGTAGAGGCCAGAAAAAGCCATATTAACACCTGGGTTGCCGAAAATACAAAGGATAAAATGAGGGAACTGTCGCCGCCTGGTTTTCTGGGCCACAACTCAAAATTTTTGCTAATCAACGCGTCGTATTTTCGAGGTAAATGTCTGTGGTACCCAACTATGGTATGAACAAATCCATGGGCTCATGGGATCACCCGTTTGATAAGGAACAAACTCAAGAGAGTGACTTCCACTGCTTGAACGGAGAATCAAGGAAAGTGCAAATGATGTATAGGAAATCGCCCTTCTATCTGGCTGATCTCGCAGAACTGGACTGTATGGCTACACAATTTCCTTTTCGACCGAGCGAGTAAGTTTACTAATATGTTGAAATATTGGTAGCTCGAGTGAGCTTGTTGGTTGCTGACGTTGGTTTTCTGGTGACGAAACGTTTGCAAGCTATCTGCTAAGCTCCGCGAATAGATCAAGAGCCACCTTCTCAAAAACCGATAAGTTTAGTGATATTCCTGAGGCATTGGAATGTCTTGCGTGAGTACTACTGGCCCCACAGCCCGTCACCTCATCATGTTTCCTTGTTCTACAGAGACTGGCATGTGGGCAGCTCTGGGGAACCTAT